TCCTTCCTAACTAAGTATTCCTGCACGGCGTATTTTCCCGCTGCAATTAGCTTGAGTTTCTGATGCGTGTTTACTGCGTTTTCATTGGGGTACCAAGCGTTTTCTTTTTCTTTGGTGTTCGTATAAGGTCTTTCTTTTCAGAGTAAAAAAAATGCATATCTCTCTGCAAATCTGTCTATTATATATGGTTTTTGCGCTCGACAAGAGAAGTCTTTCGGTGTCAGTGAGCTGCGCACTTACTTTAAACATCCCTTTCGACTTCTTCAATTCCTTCTTCTTATTAAGGAAGTGCTTCGTCAATATCAGCTGGATATGCGAGAACGCACAGATTTCTGTGACCAACGTTTAGCCTATTCTCATAAGCAGCTAGTCTAGATTCTTCAGCTCCAATGACCAATTCATTGGTCGGGGTCTTTCCATGGGCAGTTAGCACAATCTCATACGCAGCATCGTTCGTTGTCTCCTTCCGATGTTGCGCTACATCTATGGTGCAGCTCGAGCAGACTATACCAAGCGCGCCAAGAGCAAATGCCTTGATCTCAGCTTCTCTTGCTCCCTACCTAATTCTCGCTGCACGGCATCCTTTCCATCTGCAATTAGCTTGAGCTTTTGCTGAGTGTCTACTTCGTTTTCTTCATTTAGGGGGAGCACGGGGTGGGTCGGCTGCGCCACTAATCTTCTTGATCTTGGTGCACCCTTTTTCCATAGCAAGAGCAATATTTACAGTTATAAAAAGGTCATCGTGGAAAATGGTTAGGTATGGCACCCTCGGTTGCACATTATCACTTCTGGAAAGCGTGGTCCTCCTTCTTCTCTCAGTTCTTGCATTTTTCATGCCATGACGTTGTCATATCTTGCAGTGCCTTCCACAAAGCATCGGTTGCAGCGTTAAGTATATCCTTCGAACTCTAAGCTCAATCGCGGATTGGCTGAGCAGATCAGGATTGCCCCAAGCATTGTAGGCACCCAGCGGGATAGAGCGGGAACCCAACACCATTGGTCACAAAGACAGGTTAAATATTGTATACACTTTGGATTGGTTGTTGATATATTTGACACGTTGGTTGGGCCCAGTACTAAGGAGAATGGAGGAAATCATTTTTGTGGTGTAAAGTCTGAGCAGAGGCGTACTCTCTTCATGCTTTCATTTTCCTCTTGAAGTTCTCCAATAAGCTTTTCTACTACCCTAATAGACAGTTTGCTTACGGTCTATTTGTTCAACGCGACCTGATGCAGCAGAAGAGGAAAAGGCATGAAATTGACACTGTAGCTCAAGTGATTGTTGGTGCGCAGGACGAGTTTTGATCCAAAGAGGTACCATAGCGCTACGATGGTTCCTAGTACTACCATTGAAGCCCCGTCTGCTTAACAAAATGTATTGAGGGCTTTTTAGCAGTTTATAATAGCTGGTGGCGATACCGCAACCATAAGCGTCTTGCTGTTCCTCCAGGGGCCGTCTGATGCATATCAGGGCAGGATCCCTGAGCGCCACTACCTGAATCCTGAAAAATATTTAAATGATACTTGAAAGAAGTGAGCACGCTCCAGAACCTACGTAGTAGCCTGCAAACAGGCGGTAGCCACGCTGTGCCCAAGCCTAACATTTAGTGCGCTTGTTCATTTAGGGTGATATGGCCTTTGACTACTGCTGCCTGTAGCATTGGTGGAAAGGCCAGTGCTCTAGAACAGAGTGCCTCCGGAGATGAAAAGCGATTTGTACAGACAAAACTCCGAATGGAGGTTTTGGTGGACGCAGACAGACTATAGCAGAAAGGCGACCCCTGGTTTCACTAAACTTTGAGTAGGAGTTCCAAAATCTCCCGATAATACAGTGTGAAGTACAAGGCGCATACATCTACAGTGTGTAGTACGACTCTTCAACTGTCAATCTCTGTGAAATCTATTGTAAAACGGCCCGCTTGCCACTTGCCCGCCACCTTGCCCCGCGAGGGTGGATATAACCTCTACAATAGCACTGAAGCTTTGATTATTAGTGCAGCCCTCCATTAAGTGACCCCCAGTTACCCCGTAGGCCCAGCGCGTTCGCTTCCCCCCAGGTCCATTAAGCTTAATTCCGAAGACTTTTGGGAAACATGTTCCTCGCTTGTGGCTGTACGGTCCAGATAATTTGGTAATAATGTAAGCGCTATTGTAAATAAGTGGGAAGAAGCCACTGGGCCCAAAGTTAAGTCTGTTTGCAGAGGGAAAGCACCTTTGCTTAGATTTTTAAATCGAGTAGCACTTCTATTTATGCAGCAAGACAAAATTAGGGGAGGGCTTGGAAGCTTATGACGACTGTAAAATTAGCTAAGAAATTATCATGTTGGTAGAGCAGTAAGAGCATCTCGTTGGAAGCAACTTACTGAAATTCTGCACGACCCCTGCTTGATCCGACAACGCACTGAAGCATATTTCGTCAAGTGATTTGTGGACGCACGGTCGAGAGAGCTTACATGCACACTTGGATGTGCAATTAATAATACCAAGTTCATTAGCGGAGATTCCACCATCTCACTGCCATTTTTCCACACTCTGCAGATGGCATTACTACGTGCTTGTTGGTATAATGTTAATTCTTATCAGTTAAGCATTTAAAGCTTCAAATATCTGTTTTTGTCATGTCTTGTTGGCTGCTCTGTCGAATAATATATACGAGACCTATTTCATGCACGTATGGAGAGACTTCTTTTGCGGCTTAGCCCAAGCTGTGGAGCATCGGAGTGACTAGTGGCGCCGCAAGTGCCTTCAGGCCTTGTATATTTTCTAGGCTAAACATGTTTTGTTCTCACCTTTATCTAGCTTTCCTTGTATGGCAACGTAGGGATCGACTGGGTACCTACCGCGGTTTCGGACAAATCTCCCGAGCTGTGGAGTGTTTCTACTTTTAAGCACTACGTAAAATCGTTTCTCAAGTGGGATCGCTAGATACTGGACTTGCTCATCCTTCACTTCCAGCATATTGACGTGTACCTCGACCGGAATATTCAGGTCAATGCTTGCACGAATGTGCGTAAATATGTCCCCGGATACCCGAACCATTTTTAAATACCTTTGTTGTTTCTGTATTCAGCCATAGAATAACTGTGTTCAGAGCCGGTTTGACCGTAGGCGAACGGGCAAACATTGTATCCTTCATATGCCTTGTCCAGCACTGTGCCAATACCAGTATACAGCCGCTGTTGATCTGAATACTGGGCATTTGTGGGGCGTGCATAGCCCGTTCCATCACATTAAAGGCCGTTGTGAGGCCAGATAGAAAATTGGTCAAGAAGGCTTACTGCTTGCTCGTGGTGTCGTCGAGGGTGACAATTGTGTAATCTTGCCTTCGATACCAATGCACAACTGCGCATTCATAGACCTTTCACGATCACTATATCGCCCTACGCTAACGCCTAATTTAAATAAAGATACTTTTTCATAGTCTGCCTCTGCAGGATCGCAGTTCCTTAAGATCCATGTCAATTGCCATCAAGGGGGCGGGCACCAAAATAGACCTGCCTCACCCGAGCTGTCCGCAACATGTCCAAAAAGGCATACTTTCCCTTCCGGCCTTACTGCAAGGTTCACTAATAACCTACAAAAGCCACCAAAAACAGTCTCATTTGGGCGCGCGCGTGGATTGCCCTGTGTTCCTGTTTTCCCATTTTCCAGCCGTTCGCGGAGTGACCCGGTGTGATGTGTCGGTACAATAGGCATTGACAGGTCCAAAAGCGTGCCAATTGACTCTTTTATCAAACAAATATACTTAGATGATACAAGTTTTATGTCTATGGTGAGATAAAGCAAGATGAAGCGCAGGCTGCCGTGCGTATCGGGTTTGATAACGTGGATGCAAACATTTGACCGAAACGAACTACGAGACACAGCTTTTACGCGAAGTAACCAAAAGCGTAATGTATATAGGATGTACTTGCTAGAATTTAATATAATATCAACACAAATTCAGTGACGACGGATCCAACCTGTAATGCCGTGCCATTATTTCTATTCCTATATGTATCTATGCAGGCAGGACTTCAACATCAACAGCAGAGTCATGAACAGAGCACAGAATAAAATGAGCCAAAAACAGTGGCGATTTCGTTTTGCTCACCGATTGACTAGTAATCATTGATGAGCACTTCATGTGGGATTTGCTAAGTTGCAACGAAACTGGTGCATTGAAAAGCCAATGTGCTTACGACCTTGTAGCATGCAACATAGGTTTCGTAGTATGCCTCACTAAAATGGTCTCCTTGTTCATGTGCTCCAGCCATGGTCTCCAAAGACTAGAATCCGTGCGTATGCAAGGAGGTTGAGCACTTTCTTCTGAGAATGTCTTACCGTGAAGAGTCGTAATCACGTGTAGTCAAAAATAGGTTTGTACATAAGAGTCTGGGGTATTTTTCCAGCTACAGACAAGCTGACAATCCCACTTGCCACGAAGTTCGTCCGCGAATTGGCCTCACTGTTTGTTCAACGCACTAAAAGAGGAGAACATACAGCGAGCCTAGGGAACATAACGAACCAGGACACTTTCCCGAAAACTCCCACTGATGTGCTGTGACAGCAAGTTAGTCTGAGTGCAATAGCACTGCATATCAAAAGCGCCACTAATGTTGTTTGGCATAGCTTGATCACAGCCATCTTCTGTTGCTGTGTTTCCTAAACATCGCAGTTATACGTCTTCGCTGTATGACTGTCTTTTACTTGCTTGGGGAGCTTTGTGTTCTTTTTCCGATAATGATGCTGGTTGGCTCTGCGCTATTTAGCCGCCGCACCACTTGATACTCGAAAGGGGAATCATTTGGTTGGCTGAGCGGCTCAGTACGCTCGTTCTCCTGCGAAGCCATGAAGCACCCTGAAACAGTTCAAAGCCAAATTGCGTTAAATCAGTATAGACGATGCCTGTTGCACTGGCGAGCCCTCATAAATTTGTCTGCACGCCAGAAATAAAGGCACAGCCATTAACTTACCAGGCGGTGAATTTTACCGTCATTTCCACACAGCCGTGCTATGCGTCATCTGTATTTTCCATATTTCTCGGTTTCTTGCTGTTCATCCTTACATTTGCTTTCTATCAGTTCAAGTTCCTGCTGTTCCAATTTAAGCTCTTCCTCCCTCTCCTGCAAGGCTTTTTCAACGAATTTTATGTACGTTTCCAGCCGTTCCTGTCCACTAACGACTTTAGTGGTGTACACCGACAATTCATGCTGCAGGCGGCCTTCCTGTTGCTGCACTTCACGAGATAGGGATGACATTTCGGTATATGCATTGTTCTCAAACTGCTGCACAAGTGGCAGTATGTCCGTGCACCCAAGGTTAAGCTGTGTCGCCATCAGCCGAAACCTATCGACAAACAATGCCACTTCATGTCGCGCGAACAAACGGACTTCGTTTGGTAACCCCAAATATTGTTCGTCAGATAAAGAGCTGGTAATCACATCAATTGGTAGTTCCAGAACTTTTAGAGGCCGCTCTCTTCGTTCTCTTTCCAATTTTTCTAATGTCCGCCACTCGTTGACAGTGCGGTCCTGATCGCTTGACGTCCTCTTCCCAAAAGCTGCCTCTCCATTCTCTTTTTGCTTCAACCGCTCCACTCTGCGCTTTTCAGCCTCACCTTCGAGTTCTTGTTTAGTAGATCGAAAGTGACAGATCAATTCATGGAAAAAGAGGAGTACAGATTGCAAGATGGAAGTCTCCTCGATTTGGCCCAGCTTTTCCAGTGTTTTGATTTCAACGGAACGGCATGCAAGTGAACGAAGCAAGACGCAGACAAAACAGCTGAAACAGATTATGCCCATGAAAAACAAATACGGGAATAGAAACCCTCCCGCCATAACGGCGTCGGCTTGAAAGAGTTCAGATAGAGAGAAATAGCCTGTAGTCAGCCACATTGTGAAGACGAACGAATTTTTGACACTTGAGAAACCCTCCACTCGGCACCCGAACGACAAAAAGCACAAATACGAAAAGCCTATATACATGAGTGCCGCCCCCACTAAGACTTGCACCATTTCGCCCGCCGCAGACGCAAGTGTAAAGAACATGAGTGTCATGCGTTTGCTTCTGTGTCCAATCCTCAGCAGGCGCAGGAATGATAAGGTCAAGAAAACTGCCGCAATCTGAGAATAGGCCTGCAGTAATTCGCTGGCGGAACTGAAATTCCTGAAAAGCGTACTAGCCACTGAAGCCGCTTCCTCGTACGAGCCTCCTGTACCAGCAGCTGTCATGGCTGTAGTGAAATCCTCCGCTATATCGAAAACTTGGGAGTGTGGAGACGCGAATAGATAGACTATCCATACAAATATTAAGCACATCAAGATTGCAAAGCAGATAAGATCGAACGAATTGAAGAGATTGTCAACAAAGAAAACACCCAAACACGAGCCGAAGCCGAAGTCTTGGCGTTCCTTTCTCAAGCGCTTCCACAGATTCTGGAAATCTACAAAAAATGAGCTTCCGAAAAACAGGAGCAAGGCAGCAGTCGCCACCTGCAGAGCTACAGCAGCTATTGTTGTTGGGTCCCAAATGCTGTAAGGATGCAGCTGAAATTCGCAAACACAGCAAACAAACGGGAGAACTAGCTTTACTTTCTTGAAAGACATACTGGCGGGAAAGCTACTAACCAAATAATTATTCACGTAAAGGGGTAAGTAAGGTTCTGCAATTCTCACATCAAGGGCATGGACAGAAAGGGTAGGTGTAATAGTGCCACCGCGATTTCTCTTAAATCGTATCCAAAGCTCCAGCGCAATGCTGCCAGAATTTGGATTCAGTAAAATAAGATGAAACGCCAATTCCTGGGCAACGTCCCTCAAAATATTCTCCTCTGTTAGCTTCTTCAGGAAGCCTTTGAATTCACTAGGCTCAAACAACGGCTGATATTCGCATTGGAGCGATGAGCAGGTGAAATCCAGTTGTGTAGGATACACCACCTCAGAGCGCAGCGTCAGCACCACACGGACGGAGCGTGCAGCTACTGTACTGTTCCAGTTGCTGATCACCAGCTGCTGATATGGAACATCTGCACTCATATGCCACAGGAAGGTGACAGAAGGGTGAGCATACCCACGTTGAACACGTGGTGCAAAGGAAACATCTGAGTCAACTATCAAATGAGACACGAACAACCCACCAAGTGGCTTTAGCAACTCGGGAAAGATTTCAAGGAATAAATTCGAATCAATGGGGGGTGCCAGAAATGCCATGAGGCCCTGATCAGCGACGAGCCAGCTGTAAAAATCTCGGGCCGTATTTATTTCAAGTACAGATTGCATGGGAAAATAGATTGAAGCGGCTACATCCTGCAAACCTGCAGAAGAAACGTAAAGAATTGAGTTGAAAATAAAAGCACCCTAATAGAGATTCTCTCAGCTGATGAAGCTTGCGACATTTCAGCCAAAAGGTCCCACTCAAAGGACTTTTCAGCAGCAATCATCGAAAGAAGCTAAGGCTATGGGGTTGAGTAATGGGCAGTGAAATGCTGCAAGAGTTTGACGCGTACGCATACCTAGGAAAGCATCTGCACACGTAAATGTGACCGGATTCACTGGAAATGAGGTGCTTGCGACGATCGCACGAGCCATTGCCCCCATGTCTCCCATAGTATCCACAGAGAGCTGCATGAAGCCGGCACAGCAGGCTGACGCGCGAAGATATACATACATACGTCCGCCGTTGGTATAAGGTAGAGATCAGTGGCCCACTGCTTTGAGTCAGATGCATCGTTCTTTTCTCTTATAGCTTCTGCTCCTCGGTCAAGGCACCAGCACATCACAGCTTTACGCTCACTTGCAAGCTGGCTGTAGCAACTAAGATTGCAACGAACGCAACTATCAATAACTTTTTCCAAGCGCCTTCATGATAACTGTGGTTTTGGTGCATCGCCAGTGCATAGACCTGAGCATAATCATTTACCGTGGAGACAATACATGGACCTGCAGATGCAACCACGAACCTGAATATGCGGTGAACAAAGCCAAGTATCGCATGACAAGCACAGCAGTAGGGATCGCCGCCGTTTCCATTTAAGCTAATTATAAAGCTTATGACTACCTTGGCAACAGAAGGTGCTTGATCTGCGTTTGGAGAAGCTACGGCAATACGTGGCATGAAGTAGCAATCCGACAAGTCCGAGCTGGTCATTTTAAACTCGCGAAAGTAGCCGCATGTCTTGGAATATGTGTCTGCAGCATAATTTATGAGAAAATGCCAAAGCACTATTGACGTTGCCCACACCAACAAAAAGTCAGCTGACAGAGTCAGTACGTGGTCAGCCATGCTGAGTGCGCTGTACAGCCTTCCGCAATGTCGGTTAGAGATTAGAAGGCAAAGTATTCGCTAGAACACCTGGCGTAATTGCATGTAATCTGTGCACTGCTTCACCTTTGCTCGCTGGATCCACATACATGTTACGTACATTGTGCAGGTTATTCCTTATTTTTGGTGGATTTTCTATGCCCATTGTCTGCCAAACCCATGAAGGATATTCTGTCGGGGTTTTATAATATTCGCTGGCAGAGCTTTGGCTTTCCTCGTCCTGCTGCTTAGACCTATAATAGTCGATTCCCCTCTTAATCCGCCTTCGAGATCCTTTCTTTTTCATTTGGAGCTCCTTGAGCTCCTTTGTCTCTTCCACATCATCTTCTAGACCATTTCTGTTTGTTTCCGTGAGCAATGACAGCTTGTGCCCCTTCCAAGAGCTGAAGAGACCTTTACGAACTGCCGTCCAACTAGTGGCCACTGAATGCCTTAGCCATTCGTACCGTGTGGGGAAGAGATCCTGAACAAGGAATTTACAAACACATGTAAATGCACCTCTCCACGTTACGCATAGATGTTGAGCACAGTGGGCTGCACTACATAATACAAAAGAATAATGCTTATATGCAATGTGGAAACTTGACATGACGTCATGGGAAAGTTCAGGAAATTCCATGACTGATGACAAAGCATTTTCACACACAATGCAGCTGCTGTGTTGGCTCAAACCGTAATGGCAATACATGCGTGACGTACCTTGTTTTCGAGCTTATGCTTGATGGTGTTGTCCTCCAAGAAGTCAACACATATATCATATTTTCTCAGGACCACCGCAGTTAAGATGGTAAACCCAAATAATGAAAATAGTAGAAAAAGCGGTACGAAAAAAATCCCAGCAAGAACAGGATTAACGGAAGATACAATATACACATCGTAATTTCCAAGAATGCCACCCAAAAGAAAAGCCGCTGATACTGTCAAACTGCAAGAAAACAAGAGAAAAAGGCATGGCAATGTAGGAATAGATCGAAGGAACGCTGTAGCCGTTATACGGTGTCGAGTTGTTCCAGTGTGTCACTTGGTGAGATACTATTTAATCGAAAGCTTCATTCATCTATCCTGGCTAGTGTTTAGTGTACTTCAATGATAGCTTGCCTTTCGTAGTAGCCAGAAAAGGCCTCAGTAGCAGCGCCGAACGAGATATTTCCAAGAGAGACAAATAGCAAGGCAATAGCAAGCATTCCAATGCTACAAGCCAGTAAATTATACTTCACTTTACGAAAAGTCATTTCAAGAGATTTAGCTCCTACCGCTGAAATGGAAGGAAGCAACATGGCTATCAACATGCATCCTGTAACTGCGGCAAGGGAACCGAAGAAAACGAAGGACTGCTGTGCACAGTAGTTAGCATGAAACAGGTATGCGTATTCGCTGAGAAGATGGTAAAATCCATCCTCGTCTGATGCGGTCGGAGCTCCTGAGAGGTCAAACTGCCCATTTGCGCCCAGAGTTGGTGATACTTGGGGGGCGAGTTGTGCAATAATTTGTACAGCGGCAAATGATGAAAGCAGGCCCAGAAGGAGCAATATATGAAATAACAAGAGAGCAGTCCACCACCGCTTGAGCCAAACACCCAAGCCCTGCTCTTTTGCTTGAGTGTATTCGCATACCAAGTAAACCAGCATGATGAGCATAACTAAACCAAGAGCAGTGAAGCGTATCACTCTATTGGCCTGGGATGAGGCAGATACCAGTGACAATACCCTAATAAGAGGCCTTTGTAGCGTGCCTGAATACAGGAAACAGCAGCTCACCAAACGGCAATAAGAATTTGAAAAACCAAGATTTCTACTCAGTCAGCACTGCAGCCATTAGTGCGACGTACCTGAGCTGGTGAAAGAGAAAGGGACGACACAATGAGAAAATGTCTGTGTAAGTGGATTAACAACGAAAAAGTCAACCACTATGGAAATTGTCCGGCGATCAGCTATGACAGGCATGGGAACAAACCAGGGGGGATAACGAGAATGCGGTTGGGCCTGTTGAAGTGCCGCTTGGGCCGCCTGAGCGGAATCTGACTCCACAAAAATGGCGAAAAAACGTGTTTAGTGTGCGCAAACAACTGTATTTTAGGCTCTAGCAATTCTTAACTACCGCTAGCCATAAATTCAGAGTGGGCCGCCTGTTGTGGGTATAGCACTTTGTGTCACCTGCACATATGACCTGGTAATAACCTCCTTGATCATTAAAAGCCTTGCCTTCACCAGACGCTGCAAAAGGGTACGAATAAGTAAACCTGGAGCCAGCTGGGTTGGTGAGAGGATTGCTAGTGCGTAGTTTTGTCTCTGCAATTGATGAAGCTGCCGTTGCCTTGTTCAAGGGCCAAACTCCCTCGTACCCGAGGTCGAATCCGTCAACATCTTGTAGCTCAACCTAGAAATTCCACCAATAACAAGCCACATATGCGTTTCCTGGTGTCAGAACGCCGTAAGGTGACAATTAGCATCATGCATTGAATGCGGCTTGAGAAGACCAGGTAATTGGCGATGCATGGGAACTATTCTAGCCAAATTAAGTCTACAGGACCGTGTCACCAGGCCTTATTATGTCTTCTGTCAGTTGGGGCGGTTCACACACTTGCCGAAATGTTATTCTGAAACAATTTCCTATGACCCTTGCTAAGCCCAGGTTGCTTGTCTTTGACGCTGGCCCAAAAAGAAGGGGGATAAATCCATAGAGGAGCCAAGAGGCCACGTCAGCTTTGCTCGTTAATGTTAGCAGATTCAATAGCGAGCTTGGTTCAAGACTGATGGATACAGTTCTTAGTGAAGGAACTAATTGTTCAGCCTCTGCAATCTCGACACTAAGAGCGCTGAAGCTGGAGGGTGTGGGGGCCGGAGCTGACTCTAACGAGGCCACTATGCCATCTGTTGCCTCGTATAGCTTGGTAATCTCGAGGGCATAGGATAAAAACAGCAGAAGCATCGCCAGATATATCAGGGGCATAATGAGCTGTCCAACAGAGTTCCTCTGCGTTAACACATGCTGTACGTCTTCTACATTCCGAGCAGACTCTTCAAACCTAATGGGGAAGAGTCTCCGCCTAAACAGCTCCCTTCTTGCAAGCGGGGTCTGACGTTTGATGACATTTCCGAGACCAACGGAACTAGGATCCTTCAGCAGAAGTGCCTTCTCATGGTATCGTTGCTTCTCTTTCAACCCGGCATCAGTCAGAGAATTTTTCTCTTCTACTGTTCTTAAGGGCCCTCTGAAGTCTTTAAAGTCTCTGACCACTGCAGCAGCGGCTGCTGTTGCTTCCTTCTCCTGCTTCTGCCGCTCTGTTAGTTGGCCAAGCACCTGCCCTATGCCTTGCTGAAACCGGACGCTCTTAGGCTGCACCATTTTAATCACCGGCCCGTCCCCCTAGGCTACAGACCCATGATATTAATTCCCTAAAGCCATCGAAATATATCATGCCGCTTATCCAAAGGAACTGATAGGTTTCCGAGCCCTAGCTGAATCTCCCGCATGGTCTGCGGTGACCCCCTTGAGTCCCCGCATGCGTGTGTCTGCACCGGCATAAGAGAAAAAAGAATCAGCTGGTATTAGATATAAGGGGTTTTGCGTTAACGATGCGTGCAACAACACTTCTAATGAAGTTGTGGTGTGTTGTTGCTGCTGAGGTACAGGCTGCCCGGCGGCCGTACCTGTGGACCAAAAATTATAAATAGTTGGTGACACAGAAAATCCTCATGCGTATAATCATGGTAAAATTGCAGATACACGAAAATATTCAAGGTAGACTTTGAAGAGGGAGCTGCACACTACTGCCATGCTGCTCAGCATTCTTTCGCTGCGTGCTCAAGGTTTCCATTGAATCGGAGTGCTCACTGGTGGCTCCCTCATCGCGGAGTGTTCTATGCAGATAGCCACCAACCACAGTATTAAGGCTGTTCAAGGTAATGGTAACATACCTCTTTACTTAACTTTTCAAAAAATTTTAGAGGGATCAACGCTAGTATCCGTTCAGCCGCTGCTGTGCTGCGCTCATGCGAGAAATTGTAAATCAAAATTCACTACAGTACTTTTCGCCAACCACATCCAAAAGCCACGCATTATGCAGTGGCGATTGCTCCTGCTTTAACTCTCCTGCATTCACGGCATGAACGGCCTCCAGTGCTCGGGGCAACTTGAAACTAAGGGTGGCGAATGCATGAAGCTGCTGCACCCGAAAGCACGCACTGACTTCGTGCCCACGGCAGCAGCTTAGGGAATGTACCTCGTACTTGATTGATATGTAAATGACGCGAGGCAGATAAAGATCCAACTTGGACCAAGCTTGGACAGATATGTCAGAAACGGCAGGTGTGATCAACGCATTGTTTCCAACATTTGAAAGTGACCCAGAAGGCCTAGAAGGATGCCTTAGGATAATTTGAAGTAATAAATGGCAGATTAGTGCAAGTTTTCTGTTGTCTTCAAGTGATGTGAGTTCTCACAGAGTGCCTGTGCCGCCGCTTTTGTCGAAGCTGTAGAGACGAATGATCTAGGGCACATCCACATGAGCTCCAATATAGTCAAGAAGTCAATAAGACCAAGAAAAAAACCTTTTTCAGTTTCATGAGGAGTCACCTTTACTTGGCTGCCGAAGGGTGCACATTTTCTACCCTACGGTCATGTGGGGTTAGGTGCCTCCGTATTGCGAAGAAGCCGTCAAAGCATGGCAGGTGGCCGTTCCGCGGGTTACTCTTATCGTGACATTGTTGAATCTTCCAAAGCCTGCCTATTGGATAGGGATTTTTCGTCTCTATATGTGCCCTACCTTCGCTGCTCCTAAGGATCTCAACTACGTAACATCTCGTACTAAGCACCACCGCTGGCTCTCACGAAGATCTGCGGAGTCTATGTGCCAAATACGGCCTCCGCAAATATGAGTGCTCAATATATCTGCATATAGGTTAGCCGCTGCACATACTTCTGGGTCGCTAGTGGAAGGGCACATATTTCATTTATTGTCACTAATTGCCTTGCCCGAAGTGTACTTTTGAGGCAGATGCAGCGAGCCTGCCTCAACGAGGCCACTAGACGCTTAATAATCCCTACGGTGGTCTACAAATAAGAACATCAAGAATATTAAGGCACAGTGGGGTTAGTAAGAAGCAAGCTCGCCAATGCAGAATACTTTCTGCCATCCGATGCAAGCAAGGCCGAAACAGTCAACCTTTACAAGTTTGAGCTCTATTTCTGGTACTGCTTGCCGAAAATCATTTTATGGACACACGGCCGAGGAATGTCTGATGCAAAATGTATTTAGTTTCTTCCCTCTAACTCAGGCGATTTTGATTGCGCTGTTTGCTTCTTCATAGATGAAATAGAATGACAGACTACTATTTCCTTGAATGTCTGTCTCCATGGTGCGCGACATCAGTCTAACTGCAAGCTTCGTGAGTGCATCCTGGTCCGAACTATCGACATTGGCGACCGAGCAAGCGAGCAAGAGGCCTGTCTTGAAGAGATTTGCCTGCTTGACATCTAGGTCTCACTGTTGCCCTGGTGGGCAAACCCCTTTGCGATCAAGCATTCTCTATTCGGGGATAGACATGAAAGGTCGCCCAGGCGTGCCAGAAGAGGGGCTCGACGGCGCTTGTTAGCCTTTCAGGCGAGCTATAGAGTCTCCACTCGCGTTCTCCCCACAAGGGCTGGCACATCCTTGGAAACAACACCGCATCATTGCAGACGTTCCAACTACCGCCAGCATATCCTTATGCAGGCTCGTTCTGGCAGATGATAAAGATTATTACATATCGACCGCTTGAACTTGCGTCTTTGCAGATAGACGCTTTAGCCCTGACTCAATGTAAGCATAATAGGAAGTTACTGAATAAATGAACAGAGCTCCCCCTTCCCCTACTAGCTTACAGAGTTTCCGACCTAAAGGAGGACGACCAGTTAGGCTGCTTTTACCTATAACCTTTTAGCACTCGTAGCGTTCACAGCCAGTTGCATGTAACATTTGACGCACACGCACACAACACTACACCCTTTTGTATCTTACAAAGAGTAATCAGCGGCGTTAGATATGCGACAAAGGAAACCGTCATTCATGACCTATGTGATCAAAGTGATTAAGTGTATAGTAGCCATCTTCCCCTTCCATTCCAGAACACATGCCCTCGTGTTTCATTGCTGTGCGTTGGGCCACCTTTGTGCGGAACAGCGGACGTGCCCCCCGCCTTATCGCAACTCTTTAGCCACTCAGAAGCGCTAAAAAGCGGTGCGAATGTCAAACGTAGAAGGCATAGCCAGTAAAGCATATTAATGAGAAAAGACCTGCTACCCAACACAACACAACCGCGGTGGCTCGGTGGGTCGGTGCTGTAGCAGCGCCGAAAGATACATGCCTCCTGCGAGGAAATAAGGGTAAACACATGAAATGTGTAGAAGTAATCAAAATTCACACTAATGCAGGACAGCCTTTACTCATAGAGAAATTTTTGTATGCCATACTCGATCTCAGAGCCCCAAAAGGCTTCAGCAAAAATGCAGGGACAACATACCTAAGAGTGCATATGCATAAATCTGCAGGTACTAAAACCTGTTCGAGTAATGCCCATTAATAAATGTAGTTATTTCATGAAGGGCATGCGCTACGGAAGAAAAATTTTAAAGGAACGCGCCAAGTACTGTCCGTGGTGACTACCTTTGTTGATTTCACACAGCCGCAAGTTCTGTAGGCAACAAAGCTTGCAACTGCTCATCCCCTAACCACGAATTTTGGTGCTCTGCAGTACATTTCACTTAAATATCCCGTCTAACTCGCTCTCCCCATTCAATGCTCTGCTGAAATTCACAGTTCCTTCGGCTCCTTGTGGATCCTCCGCATCCCCATGGCACACTTGCCTGCACGGCAAAGGTTCACGCAAATAGTTCTGAAAAGTCTCTAAGAAGCCATTATTAATAGTTGTGTGACCCCTCCAGATTCTCAGGAAATCGATGGACTAAGGAAGAGCATTGATTTGTGAGAGGGTTGGAAAAGGGTTCCGGCCGTCTGTGCGCAAACTCGCTTACTCGGGGCTGCTCCTCGTGAATTTGCCAAACCACCAGAGCCAGATCTCCAGTTGTGGAACACACAGCCCACAGCCGTTTATCATCATTTCCTGCTTGGCTCTCTTAAACTTTGCGCAGATATACGCATGCACCGCCTAGCAGTTCTCTCACTTCCTCTGCTGCTAAGTGTGATTGCTGACCGTGGACCACTATGACTAGGGCCACAGAGAGGGGGGACTCCTCAGTGTAGACTTACGATGCGGAACACCAATGGGCAGTCGCTGGCACTGCCGTAGCATGAACTCAATTAGAATAGACCATTAGACTTGTCTAAGCACAGAGTTGCGAATACTGCAGGTGACTGTGATTGGTGCGTTATGTCCATCTGTCTTCATCAGGGTAGCTCACAGTGGTCATATTTTGGTCTATGTGCAAGTGAGTCATCAACTGAATTTCCAGCGACACACTTCAGATACCTATTCGTCAGGATACTCCTAAAGAAACCTTGCAGCTTCCAGACATGGGGTGAGAATAATTCAGCGACTTCCTGGACCGTGACAGAGCTGGAGCAAGGGATGAAATGAGCACATTTTCCGAGTCTGTCGCAGTCCAACAACAAATTCATAGTAAGACTGCTTCAAATCCAAAGCCTTTGTACGTAGCTCGCTGTGGGAGAATTGCTCTGATTTAGCTGTTGACAATTTGGGCATAACAATGCTTGATCAGCTGCCATACGACGAATCCCATCGCACCACGATTTGGAGAGCTTTTCTTTCATAGGGCAAAAGCGTGCATTATGACAGGCGGGACAAAGAAGTGAAGTTGTATTTAGCATGTGACGGAGTACCCAATTTGTTCTGATCCACAGCAGGCCACCCTCAACGTACGTGTTTCGCTCGTTTGCTATTCTGAATTTTTGCGATAACAGCGGATGCATGGGCGTCAAAAGCATGATAGTTGCGCAACGTGAATACTATTATGAATGCCCCCAGGCAACAGCAGATCTCCAGCACAAATGGTAAACCGCTGGGGCCTCACGCTTGCATGTGGGTGACCACTTGAATGTTGCCTTGCCATACTGCAGGAGGCGCCGAAGTCCCCGAACAACCCCAAGCTTATAATAGTCCTACAAACTCTTTGTAAAGTATATTAAGACTGATAACTGGTCTGAATAGCATTACGACGCCTATATGTATGGTGGTGGCATTCTTTCACGCTCCCACACATCGCTTAGATTTATTTCGCTGCACTAAATAACACTACTCGCTGTTGGTGAAGCGATGGGAATGGCAACTCACGATTTGTTGCTCTGGATAGCCTGTAATAGCGCCTACTGATCAGAAGAAACAACGCTTTCAATAGGGCAAACAAATAGTGAGGCTGTAAGGCGGCTGATATGCGACATGCTGAGGCATTAGGCTTCGCAGTCCATGTCACAGGCTGCTGTTTCTTCATTGGATCAGTCAAGGGATCGGCAGTACGCTCGAATTGAGGAATGGAAGCTTGATATTAGGAGTGTAGTCCCATAGACCTTCGCAGCGTCCTTGCTGGAGAGTAAACGTAGGGCTCATGCCTTGACTGTTCCAATTTTTGTGGCTTTTCGTAGCTGAACTGCAGACTCCAGATATATGTCCTTGTAGACATGAAGGCTTGCGCTCCTACACGAACCACTGCTTTTACCTCAACAGCTGAACCGCACTTCGTAGGTGCTGTAGGTGTTCTTGAACGCTTCGGGTAGATAATGCGTCGTCCATGTAGATAGCTGTTGAGTTTCCTTGGCAGGCCCACACAAATTTCGATTAGCTACACTTTGCAGCTCAGCCAGGGCAATTCCATGCCCGAATGGCTAACAGTTGTGTTCGAGCACGCGATTGTTAGTGCGAAACGGTGTTTTGTGCATCCAATCATAGTGAATCCCAATGTGTATAAAGGCGTCTGTAATGCCAAATACTGAGTAATCTGTTGAATCATGTGTCTTGCCCAAGCAGTTTACCAGCATGATGCGTTCAAATCCTCTCCTTCAGAGTGAGTCGGTTTAGGGGATAAACGCTGACGCAGATCCCCCACCCCCCGCCTTTTGCATCCCCATCAGCGAATAATGCCCAAAACCGCCGGTCAAGTCTTGCATCTTGCCATTTTCAAAAGCTCATCACCTGCAACTCAACCTCATTTACTTGCTAAAAGGCCTTCCGATACAGTGAAGGCAGCTGAAGCAGACCTTCGGGATTGCGTAGTATTTTCGGGGCAATGAACCAGAAGGTAGCCTACCTGCTGGTGGTTTGTCAATATTTGTGCATTCTTGAAACGTCCCTTGTCATTTGCCCATTCTGCAACGCGGATGAGAGTTTATTGGGGCTATTCGAAAACCTGTAGCAGGATCAGTAAAGTGCTTTGCCCCCCACATGAAGGTTCTGCCACACGTTTTTGAGGCCGAATAGACCCTGCTAGCCACAGATGAAATGAGTGCTGCTGAGAAGATCAGGGCTTGATTCTTCGTAACTTTTTGTCGCAAACTAGTCTTCACAGAACGCACGTAGCCACATGCGCGCCTTCCACCGGGTCAATCATGGGATGCGTAGGGTTTCTTCATGGTTGACAGGTCCAATAAAGAAACCTAGGACCATGCTGATAAAAAGCAGCTCCGATCTGGCGTACCGTTTCACCGCAGTGCCCTTGCCAGTCCTTGCGTTCTGCCTTCTGTCAACAAACCTGAGTTGTAGGGAATGTGCTAATTAGCAAGCAGGCAAATCGCGCTTCTGCGTCCTCGCCGCGTATAGCATATCCATTTCCCATCCAATTCCAAGTCACACTAGCAGTTTCCGACCAGACATTTGAACTTTTGTCACCGCAGAATCGAATCGCGGTCTCCAACGAAGAACGCTCTGCAACCCAAGCTACAGCTTGCGTGGGGGGCTCGCCGCTTTTCTGGTGTGCCCTCTTTGCTTGCCGAGCAGCCCAATTCCGCTGGGTGCAATTCCTTGTATAGGTTTTTTGGATTTGTGCAGGCGCTCGCAGTTTCAAATTGTTCGCCCAAAATTTCCACTAAAGAAACCGATGCATTTGTACGGGGTGTTTATGGTTTCTTTGGAGTGCGGGCTTCCTGGGGTGTCCTTGTTCACGTTACATTGTACGATAGAACCATTTGACACAGCCCTAGTATCCATCGGTTCTAATCCTGACTTGGATGTTCCTTTAGCAATAGACACACGAGGTGTGCTCATTTGCTTTCAAGATCTCATTGAATCCGACATCTGTGGAAAGTTCAAGGTTTAGTTGTTTTATTGCTAAGTCGCCCAGCATCTTTGAACCTCCTGACCTGACATCTTGGTAGACCTGAGAAAAATCACTGAGAAAGCAACTTTTTGCCTACCTTGAGGTACTTTCAGCAGGCCAAAGGCTTGTTTAATCAAGAAACTGATCGATGGATAGATTCCCTTGCTTCAACTTTCTCAATTCTCCCAAAACTTGCTATTGAGCTGATGTCCGCGATAAGCGTTGAGTCAGAGGTTGTTTAAGGCTCGCGCTGGAGCTATCTTTGCAGGCAGAGGACTTTATGCTTTTTTAAATAAATGCGCGGCAAGAAGCATTCTGTTGTATTCCTCTCCGGGGTAGGTACGTCTCCCACCGGCTAAGGAAATCTAAGAATACTTACCAATACTTCCAGCCGTCAGGCTCTCCTGACCAGCATCAGCTCATCGACACATTTACAAACACTATAGGGGCTTAGAAGTCATGCCGTTATACCACCTGTGGAGCTACTGCGTTCAAACAAACCTTGAAGGGCACCCGTTTGCCGCTGCAGATGTTGTGCCATTGTCAGCCTCCGCCACCAGAGGGCGTTTCCCACGGTGTTGTCAGACGAAATCAAACTTTTTTGTAATAAGTGACTTGATATACACCAGATAACGGTTGTTGGGGGCATTTATAGCTGTATGCACGCATCATCGAGCACGCACACTCATCATGTCTTATTGTATCGAGCTGGGAAACTCTGCTCTTAATAGGACACACGAAAAGACAAATTAATTGGCCACTTCTTTGGACATTCTTAGTTGAGGGCAGGTAACGCAACAGAACGCGCTTTAGCATGGCGGGCTACAAGGTAGGCATTGGAGCACAGCGGTTTCGTGCCTCATCGTCCACATCTAGCCACACACCTGCCCGCACGGAGAGGCACCATACTCAAACGCGTGGCGCCGCCCTATCGGAGGTCATGGGGAAAAGAGCAACAGTGATTAAGACAATGCACGGAAATCCTGCTTTGTAGTTTGCGGTCCAGCGCCACTTGCTGGTCCACCGAGGAGGTCAATAGTTTCAATGCCTGTCGTGTATTCCAATTAAATGCAAAATAAACGTGCACAAAATTATCGCTACAGATGCAGCACTATTGTCCAACCACTATTTGCATGTGTAGGTAAGGGCAGTACCAAAAGCTGTTCGCGGGGTACGCCATCCAGCTCACCCTCTTGCAGCTTATCCCTCACTTGTTGCGCCAAATAAGGGTCATGCCCCTTAATAATCTTTAAATAGGAAATTTCTCTTCCTTGGTTGGTATTCTGTTGCCGTGTGTCCTCACATATGCGCTGACTTTGAATGAGAAATACATTGTGCTAATCGATTCCGTGTGGGCCTCCTCACAGTTGCGCCTTGGTGGTCATCTCGTGGAAAAGCGGAATGAACCGCCTCATCACAAGGCCTTTCAAGCTGCTTTTATCTTAAGCTGGTGCTTTTACATTTACCTAATTGGACAGCTTATGCGTCAGGTCAGCTTCTGACCAGTGTGCACAGCGTTGTATCGGAGAAGCATTGCTAGGCATGATGGCACAAAGGAAGGGGACCAAGACAGTCGTTCCCGATGAGCTTTTGATACGCTTAAAGGAAGAAACTGGCAAGCCGTTGGAAGAAATAGAAGAAGCTTGGAGCGAGCAACGCACTGAGAGACAAAAATCCGTAAAATGCCTTCTGAAAGAAAATGTCACTAATGCAGCCCGATTCTTCGAGAAGACAGTAGATGAGCACCATGACAAGGTATTTATAGTGTACGGTGGTGCTCATGAAGAAGATATACCCTCTGGAAGCACCTGCCTAGAATGCTGCACAAGGGTCTTGACGTATAAGCACGTGGACTATGCGAGCAACAGTGTTGCAGCATGGGCAGTGAAACTGCAGGGTAGGAAGGACACAGAATGTTCTGCGGGCAAGGGAGATGAATGCAGCGTAAAGTGTAGCGAATGCACATGCAGAGCCCGTGTTGCTGCAATGCTGATGCTCAGCAGCCCAGAGTACATTATCATCCTCTTGGGCTTGCTGAAAGCCGGGATGACAGTGGCTCTTCTTCATCCCCAGTTACGCGGCTCACTGTTGCGAAAGGCAGTAGGGGAGGCGGATCCACAATTGCTCATATGTGATGACCTCACCGTAGCCTCTTTGCGGCACGCGTGGCTGGAGGAGTGCTGTGGCAAACCAGGAAAAACCGTGCATTCTACTCAGAAAGAAAAGGAATACAAGGGGTCATATCCCTGTCCAGTGTTCATTTGCGGAGCTGTCCGGCCGAAAGAAGATGTAGGGGAGCACAGCCTTGTCCCCCATGTTCACCGCCACATCAAAGACCGTCTAAGTGAAGAAGAAGTTGCCCATTACCAACAGCACATGGAAGCCAGCTCAACGACGGAAGAGCACAGGTGTCAGCCTAAAGGATTTCCATTAGTACTTAAAGAGCGGCTCTACAACGCTGTTGGACTCGCGCTCAATTCAGAAGGAGGGGATCAGCATAGAGAACATCAAGGAGAGGTCGACGCCCTCACACACCAAGGAGAGCTGGGTCGTCCCTGCGTTTGTCTATATACAGCCGATTTCGATGGGCACATGTGTGCTGCATACCTGTCACATAACCGATTCATATCTGCGGGTTTGGTTTGGAAGCAAGCCGTGCCACTTTCCTCATCTGATCGACTCTTGCTCGGTGTGCACCTCTCTCATGAGGTGGGTGTGCACGCCTTGGCATCCGCGATTGCCTGTGGAGGGGCACTGCTCTTGCGCCATAAGTGTAGTATCCTATCTCTTTGGGAAGACCTCAAAGCCCTAGATGCTTCTGTTCTTTGGCACACGGGGATGATGTGGGCACGATTGCTCAGGTCCCACGAGCGTTTCCATGGTGGTGAGCACATGCAGCGCTTGGGATCGTGGAGTGGTCATCCTCGACTACGAGCCAGCGTGGGAACAGGGTTACTCCGGGAACTGTGGCCTGTTGTGAAACATTCTTTTAACATTCCTTGTATCCTCGAGTTTCACTCTCTGCCAATCCTCCAAACCGCCCATGTGTTGTACAACGCATGGGGGATGACGGGGGCCTGCAGCTTTATCCCAAACGCTGCCTGGGACAGGATGCCCTTTGAACGGCTTGTAGAATTCAACGAGAAGACAGATGAAGTTGAGAGAGACAAGGCATCGAAGAGAGGCAAGGAGGCTTCGCGATGCCCAAGAACGCTGATTCAGAGAGGTATGAACATATGCGTAGGCTTCAAGTTAGTGCATACAGCGGCGGTCGGCCCTCAATATTACCCAAGGTACCTGTAATTATGTGTTCCCGTGCGTTCTCGGTGTGGGATCGCAGGTGAACTTGTCTCACATGTTTCACACGGCCACAACTTAATCCTGTTTACTCGCAAAGAAAAGACAGAACAGTTCTTGTATAAAGACCTCTTTGAAGAAGGCGACGTCTGGTGCCGGTCTGGGGAAATAATGGAGCGGGACGCAGCTGGGTTCCTCTATTTCTGCAGGTGTGCAGGTATGTATGACACACCAGTAATGTCTTCGTGGCTCATGCAGCGCGCGACCGGTCCACTGTCTCCAGCATAGTGGCAATCTAGTGTGCCTGCTGTGCCTAGCGTTAACGTCTAGAGATTATGGTGTGGTGTTTATTTCTTGGATTCTCAGGGTTCGGCTTTCGCATTGATGGGGAAGCTGCACCTCTAGCTGACGTGGCTGCTCTACTGAAGAGGCATGCTGGAGTGCTCGGGGCTCGTGTGGAAGGGATGAGGGTGTTTGCGGATAGTGATAAAGCTGCAGCAAACAGTATGGAAGAGAAAGTGAAGGCAGGCCAAAAAGGTTGGCCTAAGACTGCTGTGGAGTTGTTCCAGGCGGGAGAATGCCATCGCAAGCTGAAGGTGGGTAACTAGCTGATCAGATTAGCCCATGGATCCTTGGATGCGTATAGTGGGAGCACATATGCATAGAATAAACTGGCGTTTGCATTTAGGATAGATCCAACTTTGCGCATTGCACACTGGAAATGAGGTGCGGAAAGAGGTATGCAAACAGAAATTCAAGTGTGCATGCATACTGTATGTGTATTACTCTCCTCCTCTCAGTGCCTTGTGGCCTGCGTCCACGCTAAGCTGGAGGCCTGTAAGATTACGGATGGGGATGGCATCGACCAGCCACAAAGTTGTGGTGATCTTGATCTTGACAGCAGCTTGCTGGTTATTGGGGAGGAGGAAGCAGAATGCAAGAGAAAGGAGGGCAGTGAAGGCGAAGTGACGCTGGTTTCTGTCCAAACTTTTTTGAGGAAACTTCGTAGCTGCCTTGATCATGACGTCCACTTGGCCATTCGCCCCACAGTACTCATGCTTTGCTTCGCTGAATGCAGTAGTGCTAGCGACAGACGTAGCAGCATTGGCAGCACATGCGGGTCTTGTTCTAGTAGGCACGAGACCGAGTGCAAGTGCAGTTGCGGCTGCTGTTGGGAATGTGAAGGCTGTAGCGCTCACCGAAAGAGTGTGCAGGGGCTGTGTGACCTCATAGATGGCCAGGGTTGTTGCACTGCCGGGAGCAAATGCAAAGAGGGCTGCAAGCGCCGCTGCTTTCTTTTCTATGCTGACACTAATGGAGACGCATTCACCCCTCTCAGGAAGGATAACTTTCAGGACTTTGTGCGTGAGAGTTATTCGCAGTTCGGACTATGAGAAATCCGAGGCAGAAGCGTCTATGCGTGTTGGCGGTGTGCATTCGAAGAATGCACACTTTGTCCTGCCAGTGGTTTGCTGAGAAATTTCTGTTGTGCGATTGCTTGTCGGTTTCTTTCTTTGATTTTTCCGTCCTTTATGTTTTCCGTTCTCCCGGAGAAAGCCCATAAGCAGCGGCAGTGAACTGTATCATCTAAGCAGGCTTGGGCTTTGAGCCTCTGCACTACGCCTGTACGATCAACTGCGTATGCTGCCTTTAGATGCAACGTTCAGGAAAAACAGTGCCGTTAAAACTTCTCGTGACCGAGTTCCGTTGGCTTGGGCGGGGTACAGGAGAAGCAGAATTTGCAGTGATACACTTGGCTAATCTGTCACACTAGTAGAGTTTTTCGCCCACATATTGCACATTACGAAACAGTCATTCTTTAGCTAAGGCTAAAAAACTGTGTACACGGCAAAGCAAACAGGGCTAGTGTCCGTGTGATTAAGGACATCTTACACGGAAGATTGTAGCGGCAAAACAACAGCAAACCAAAATGCCAACAATAACTGAAGGCCCCACTGGTCCAGCTCCAAGTCTCCGAATGTCGGAAATGTGTGGCAGTTCCTAAGACAATTTTGTGCACCGGTTAGAATACAAAATTGCTGCAGTGTCCTCACAAGAAATACTTTGTTTCTCTCAAGATGGTCTTCTGCAGAATATTAGCTTTTATGCCGAGCTTCATACGCTGGTGATGCAGTTTCCTCTGCTGCTCCGTCTCACGTTGGGCCGCCAAGCGGCGTTGTGGAGGCGGCAAGAGCAGACGTTGGTGTTGCCGCACATGTAGCTCGCCTCCTGCCATTCCCGGGGATGCCAGGAGCTTGTAGTGCTTGTAGAGCGCAAGGGCCGATTTCCTGCTTCTGCATACCGGGAGCGGAGAAGCTACCTATACAACGTGCACATGCCGCACTAATACGGGCACGGGTGGCAACAGCAGCTACTGGTGGAGCACCAGAAGCCAACAAGTACAGCAATAACATTAGCGGCCGTCATCCAGTGCCCAGTGAAAACATGGGCTTACCCCTCTCATGTCCCTGATGACGCATTGTTCGGCAAGCTGAGGCGTTACATTGCGGATGCGCTGCCGACAGAAAACTGCATGAGAGCGGTGTAGCACCCTGAACAGACACATCCTGCACCTCAGCGAGTAATCTCCCGAACCCCTTTCATTCACTAAATGTTGGCTGGTGAAAGTGCACAGGCTTGTGTACTAACAAGGACCTCCACAGCAGGGCGTGGAATCAAAACTCCCCCTGTTCAGCCCCACAAAGCGTACTCTTGGCCATTGGGAAGCTGCAAATGCCCTTCATCCGTCACCCGGGCACGCCGCCATCCTCTGCAAGGATATCATGAACAATAAACAGAAGGCTTACAGTCCCAAATCTAACGTGGTTCCCTGTACTCTGTGTTCTCTTTCGTAGGCCTGAAGTGTCATGCGCCAGCAGCACATGAGGAACACCGACAGAAGCAACGCCGCACCCACCTGGTCTGTAGGAGCGACTCCAACTTCTGCTGCTCCAAAGCAGCGCTTTCATCCTCACTGCTGCAATATTCCCAGTCCTCCTCGTTCACCTCTGAATGTTCTGACGTTACCCCCTGGTTGGTTTCCACCTCGCTGAATTCCTCAGGGGCTGGCAGCTGATAGGATTCTTGGCCGGGGAGACGCTCAAGCAACTACATCGACAGGCACCATAGACTGCATATACCATTCCTTCACCTAAACCAGCAGTTACCACACCCTTTACAATTCAATGGAGCCCTCAACATGATTTGTACTCACCTCATAGTACGACTTCCGGTAATCGTAGAACCCCTGCAGTAGCTCCTGCTGCTCCTCGTCCCACTTGAGTTGGAAATGCCGTTGCTGCTGCATATGCTGCAGTGCGGCACGGATTCCCCTGAAGCGTTTGCAGCAGTAAAGACAGCTCGGCTGCTGCTGCTGCCGCCGCCACAGGCACCGCAGCAAACCCGCATAATTCGTGCAGTAATCCTCATCAGGGATCTGCCAGGAGCAGCGCACACAAAAGTGGCATAAGACTACAGCAGCAGCGGAAGCAGCTACAGCGTGAGCATTGAGGACTCAGCCTCCCTCTCCCAACATGCAAAAGTGGGAGCAATTCTAAAAGCATCAGTTGCTATTTCACGATCACCAACACCTGCGCATGCAACGAAGCTCAACAAGCACTAGCAGCACGTACGAAGAACCCGTAAGCTTCTTTCATATACTCAAGGTTCGCTGCGGTGGAGGTGAAGGGAAGCATCTGCTCGAAAAGATTGCATCTTTCAGGATAATGCTGCAGCGCAGTGCGCCAAGCAGCAGCTGCTGCTTTCGCTGCTGCACTCCGCTCGTCGGTGGTTGCTGTGAACGTCTTCTCCCCGTCCTCCTGGTGCGAATGCTGCTTCTTTCGGTGGTCTGTCCCTTTTCTGTTGCAACGAACTGCATCCTCGAAAGCAGCAGCACTTCTAGTAACTGGTGACTCCCGAGTGTCGGGTTCCCCTTGCTGGGGATTCCCCTGGGGTCCATCTCCACGTACGTACTGCCGCGCCAGACGCAGCAGCTCGATCTTACGTTCAAATTCTGATCTTGAGACACAGGGGAGTTGCTGGTTCCGGCGACGCATATTGTACCTAAGGCGAGCACACATAAACACGCACGCACCATGCAAAGCTTCCAGCTTGAGATTTGTGGCGTGGGGGCCCCTAAAAATAGATCCACGGAACGCAGCATACTTCGTTTCATCTAGGCCCCCCCAGAGAGGAAGGTTTTGGCAACTGTATTTAAGGTCGAGCCCTTAAAGGGTGCTTACAGGTGCCAGGGATCCCTGTGGTGCTCATTGAAGGCATTTCTGTCTAGAAGATCGCAACCGCAGATTCTGCACGACAGAGGTCCCATTCTTTGGGGTTCCGTTTGTGGGGGCTGGGAATCCATTTTCCAACATAAAGACCCTTCGCCCTTCTATTATGGAGTTAGTAGACCGTGCTGCTGTCACACGTTGCTGAACACCGCGTATGATCTTGCATTTCCGACAAAGCACCTGTTGCTGTCAATGCAGCGGGTGGTGCTGCCACTGCAAACGTGGGGTTAAAGAAATAGAGGCTTACGAGATCTTATGGCGAAAGTGCCTTTAGAAGAGCCCGTAAAAACACCAATAAAAACATCCTGTGGAAGTCTTGCTGCTGTGCACCATTCAAGGGCCCCAGCATGCATGCGCTGTTGCTGCTGCTGCTCCTATCGATGTTGTCAATGCTGCAGGCGCTCCTGCTCCAGCAAAAAGTGGCTATTAACACTCCAATATCCACGCGTATGACCACAGCGGCAAGACCAGCTGTTTTGCTGGTTCTTATGGCAAAGCTGCCGCGGCTGCGATACTATTCCCAGCTGTAAGCGCAGCAGTCTCCCCCTCTGTTTTCCGACCAATGATGTTAGAGGACGCCTCTTCCCGGGGGCTGCATAATGCGGCCTCATGCTGCAGAGTCCTATGGGCCAGTGATAACGATACCAGAAGGAGCAGCAGGAGCAACAGGGGCAACAGCAGCAACCTTGTAGGACAGTCCGGGGGCTTGGCCTTGCCTGCTGTACCTGCAGGTTTTGTGCTGCAGCCATATGCCTCGTGCCTATTAGCAGCACCTCCTTGTGCCTCTGCTACCGCTGCTGTTCGGACCAGACCACTGGCTATGCGCCGAGCTAGCCCATTGCTGGCTCCCCTAACGTGTGACTCCCGCAGCAGCAGGTGCAGCTGCCAGTATTCCGATGCTGTTGCTGCAGCAGACACATCAGCTCTAGCGCCGAGTTCGGCTGAAGCATTGAAAGCTCCCCGAGCAACTCCAATTTGGCGAGCTGTAGGCGGAGACTCGCATACAGCAGTAGCCGGAGACCCACACACAGCAGCAGCGAGGCCAGCAGCACCGGTTCCAGTCCATGCAGCTTCAGCTACCCCTCTAGTGCATTACAACAGCACCAGGATCAGGAGCTGTTGCAAAGAGGGAATTGGTACTGTAGTCCGTCTGCCCCCTGCCAGGAGTTCACTGCTCTCCTGCAACAGTACCCCTGTTGTTGCTGCTGCTACAGGTGGGTCTAGTGCCCTGGGTTCTCAGCAGCAATCTTCTCTGTGCATGCTCACTGAGGATGTCGGTATGCATGGGCGGCAGCAGCAGCAACAGCAGGAAGATGAAGACCCCAAAATGTTGCAGGTTATGCGGACTCATGCGTTCTTACATCTCACAAGCGGTGCTGTGGCAGGTGGGTAGCCGCAAGACCTAGCTTCCCATCCAGAACTCCCGAATTTTAGAAGCGAGTTAGCGTATAAGGAAGTCTGGGAAGGCATCGGGTTGCATTTTAGAGTGTCAGTGCTTTCATTTGCGCCGTGTTAGAGGATAGTGTAATGGGTTATGCTATGTATGTAGGCGCTGTCTCGCGGACGGTTACTGCACCTTTGGACCGGGTGAAGGTGATGTTGCAGCTGCAGCCCGCTTCGGTTCCTTTGAAGCATGCAGCACGCGCCATTATGCAACAGGAGCTATCGGTCAAGGCTGCAGCTGCGTCTGTTGGTGCATCAGGCAGAAACAGCAAAAGCAACAATAGTGTCAGTGCAAAAAGCTTGCCTATGTCCTGCTGGAAAGTAGATAGGGCTATGCAGAAGCACGTGGTTCGAATGTGCCCACCGGCGACGAGCGCTAATAGCAGCAGTGGCAACAATAGCCGGTTGCTCCTAGGCGGCTGGAGAGGCTTCTTCAGAGGCAATCTTACCAACTGTTTGAAAGTGGTGCCAGAGACAGCCATAAAATTCTACAGCTACGACATGTGTAAGCACGCACTGGTTCGTCGGAAACAGGAGCAGCAACAGGACCAAGAGCCGCAGCTGCAGCTATCAGACAGATTTGTTTGCGGTGCAGCAGCGGGACTCTGCGCTCAACTTTTAATATATCCCATGGAGCTCGTAAGCCCAGATCCAGCAGCTTTAGGCTGGGTGTCCTTGCAAGCTTTGGTTCGCCTTAAGAACTCCCCGTAGACTTGCCTTCTACCTCTGCCTGTTTCTGGGCGCCCCTGTACCAGGGTATGCACTGTGCCGTCTGTGTGTATGTGGGTAGGTGAAGACGCGTCTAGCTGCTTACAGCCCGGGATGTATGTACAGCGGTGTGCTTCAGTGTTTCACGGAAATTTACAGAGAAGGAGGCCTCAGGCGACTCTACCGGGGGTTGGGCCCTTCCTTGTTGGGAATCATTCCCTATGCAGGAATTGACCTGGCAGTATTTGAAACTTTAAAGGAGGCGTATCTGCAGAAAATTATGATCCCGAAGTTTCAACAACAGCAGCAGCATGCGCTTATGTCTTTGCAGCAGCAACGGCAGGCTCTTTGCAGCAGTTGTAACTCCCCAATCCAAACACAAATAGCAGGAAACTCTTCGCCCAAAGATCTGACTGCTGTATCAGCAATAGACAAACAAACAGGAGGTGCAGTGGGCGCCGATCTCGCTGGTGAAACCTCCGCCGCTTCCTCAGCAGCAGCAGCGCGTGGGCGCTGTTGCTGCGATGCAGGCGTGAACAGCAGTAGCGGGGGACATCCGCTTTCTCCTCCTGCTCTTGTGTTGCTGCTGATGGGTGGTTGCAGCAGCCTCATTGGGCAAGTTCTTGCCTATCCAACAGCGCTGGTGAGGACGCGCATGCAAGTAGATGGAAGCGGAGGCCAACATTTATTGTACCGCAGCAGCGCAGCGGCGGCTACAGCCGCGGTGCGGCAAGGGGGACTTCGAGGCCTCTACAGAGGGCTAGGCGCAAACTGCTGCAAGGCTCTCCCCGCAGTCTCTTTATCTTGGATTGTCTACGAAAAAACCAAAGAGGTCATCAGAACGGCCGAGCGCGACTGGACCGAACATGTTGCAAGGCAACGAGCAACCATCGCCCGGGCATGACGCCAACGGAGGAGCAACAGCACAAGCCCAATACCACTTCGTTCAGCTGCAACAGGCTGCTTCTACGACTGCGCAGATCCCATGCTGCTGCCATTGTGGTGCATGAGCGCGAGGTGTACACTTCCGGGATGTTTAGCACATTGCAACAAATGCATTTGGCCGCGGCTACAGCAAGAGCTGTTGCTGCACCCCCTAGGCTGCTTTTATTGCTGTGGTCCTCTGCGACGTATATAATTTCTAACTTTAATATTGTCAAACGCAATATTAAGTTACTGTAGAGAACTGTGGTGTCAGCGTCGCATTTCAAGTGTCAAAATGTCTAGTGCCCCATGTACTAATGCACGGCCAGCAACCAGAGATTATGTTGCACCTAAGAAAACTGCGGACTCACGAAGAGACTACATCGCTATTCACTCTCAGGCGAGCCGTGTCGCCCTTCACTGCTCCCCGTGTTACAGCCTACTCCCGCAATCACTTCGCTGCCCCCAACGGCCCCCCGTCACCTGCCTTCGGAAAGTTCCTGCTGGAGTCACGGCTGTTCACGCAGCGGACATTTGGGAATGAAATGCTGCAGCATTCATACTAGAGTATGATTCTGCTGTTAGACTCGTAACTCACTACCTCAAATTCTACATAGCCCACGCTACTGAGGTCAAGAGCTTATGAAACCAAATACCGTCGAAAAAAATCAAAACGACCCAACAGCATAACGGTGGCTTCTAGGGAAGCCTAAGAAAAAAGTGTTACTACGGGCAGTCCGCTGATGTTGCTTCCCCCCATTGCTACACCCGCTGCAGCAACAGCGAGCAAAAGGGGGAAGCTCCATGGGGACAATGTCCGTCTGCTTCGCATTTGCTGAGACATCAGCGGCAAAGCAGTAGCCCCTAAGGTCGCCGTCGGCGGTGGGGCAAACGATGCGGAGTGTCCCTCCTGTAGCAACTGCTGCAATTGCTCCCTGCTGCAGCCACTGCTGCCACCCTGACACAGACAAATGGGCTACAGCACCAGTGCAAGTCACAGTAGCGTCAGCAGCACGACGTGCTGCTGTACGGTGTCACTGTTGTCTGCTGCAGTAGCAGCTGCAGCAGCGACTAGGCACTCATGCCTTCTTGCTGCTCTTAGAATGCTTCACTGGCGCCTTTTTCGCTGCTTGCTTTTTCACAGCCTTTTTGGACTTGGCTGCTGCCGCCGGCTTCGCCTTTTTCTTGATGGTCTTCTTCACTTTCGGCGCTGCTGCCACTGCTGCTGCTGGAGCAGAAGCAGGGCGAGACGCCTTCTTGCTTGAGGTGCTGCCCTTAGCAGTAGAAACCTTTGAGGCCTTCTTTGTTGCTGCTTTTTTGGGGGCCTTTCTGGCAGACTTGACACTGGGGCGTGCTGGTGCCATTTTTGCTGCTGCTGCAGTGATTGGTGGCCTGTCCTTCGCGTCTGGTGTCTGCTGCGGCTGCAGCAACACCAAGGGAGAAACAGACAAGAAAGAACAGAGACAGCAATGAGCTATAAAATGTATTATTGTTTTGGACAACCTGACACGGATTTCCCGGTAGCGGCCTGGATGCCGCCGCTGCCGCTCCTGCTGCTGTTGCTGCCTGCCCCGCTGCAGCATCATAGTTAGCTGCTACCATGTGCATGGCTAGCTGCTCAGTACGTCTTTCTGTCTGTGATAAAAGAGCACATGCTTCCTACTAGAGGGACTGGTTTGGCGTGCTAGATGAGGCCAGTATGCTGTAGATGGCTGTAGTTGATGTCTCGTTACCAACCGCAGCACGCACAACCCTGACACCCCCATGCCATTCCACGTGCCTTCTCCCACCTAACTCCCCCCAAATTCTCTCCCTGGCTTTCGGAAAATTAGTGAATTCCTTAGACTAGATTCAAGGGCTATAGGTAGTGATCGATCAGCTGAGCTCTTGAAATGGCCCCACGATACCCTCAAAGTGTCTGCAGCGGGACAAGCTGCACCCTGTATTTTCCACCACAGGTGATAATCGAGAAACTGGTAGATATTCATCAATATTTGGTCTCTCAGTATGTCTGGTGTGCTGTCGCATAAGCATGCTTCTATGTAATGAGAAAAAATGCCGTACCCCTCTGCATACATTCTGCGCGTGTAGCTCCATTGCATGGTCTCTACGGGACGCTTTTCCCCAGCATCAATACAAACTTGACAGAAAGTAACTGCGCGTTTCTCGAAAAAATGCCCCCTCTCCGTGCTTGCGTTTCCCAGACTTCTGGCATGAGAAGACAGGGCCCGTCAGGAAGCGCAACGCCATACCCACTAAGCACATAGGACATTCACGGATTGTACACAACGAAAGCTCAGACTTGCAGCGTCATTTTCTCTTGTATCAAGCTAACGATACTCTGCAATCAACAAGTGGGACAAACGGACAAAGCAGTTACGCAAATCTTCACTGAATTTAGCTCCGTGAATCAGTGTACTAAAAAGTGGTGAAAAGTAGCCTAGCTCGCAAGATCTTGCCCCTCACCTTTTAACTGTCATGGTCCGTAGCTGTAGATCGATACCAACTGCATACAGG